GGTTTTGTACTCCTGAGGGAGCCCTAAGGGGTTATGTTCCTGGTGGAGGCACTTAGGAGATATTCCATTTTCTGAATATTTGTGGAGTGATGACCATGTATAAGACACTGTGCTATGTTATGTGAGGGGTTCTAAGAGGAAGAAGATCTGACCTGGGGCTTTGGGAGAAAGACTGGCAGATACTTAACTGGAATGCAAGGCATGGATCAGTGCATCAGAGAATGCTAGCCAAGGACTCTGGGGATTCTGAGGAAGCAGGCAGCACATCGGATCAGGAGGATTAGCAAGAACACCAAGAAGGAAGGTGCCTTTGCAATGAATCTTGAAGGAGTGAGCCAAGTCAGTGTCCAGAAATCACTGGCACATCTGTGGAATAGCAGTTTAGTTCAGGCAGAGGAGAGTATGAGGTGAGGGCGTGGTCATCTGCTGAGGCCATGAGGAGGGGGCGGAGTCAAACCCAAGCTGTTCTTTTGTTGGGGTAGATGCAGAAGGTGGACATCGCTAGATTTTTTTCTCCCCAGGACATTTATTTGGTGTGAACATGTGTGGGATTTCCACTTTTATTTCTCTTGAGCTGGTCACTCAGTTCTTTTAGAGAGCTTTCCCTTTATTTTCCTACTGAATGTATAATTTGTCCTAGAGGAAGAAAAGACTAGAAAGGAGGCTGGGGCCTGAGCATGCCGGAGCACGAAGGGTCCTGACTGTGTTGGAGTGAGCTGTGATTGGAGTGGTGCCTCAGGAGGTTAGTGTGTAGTGTCGAGTTGGTGGGGGAGACAGGCAGCATGCCCCTGCTGTGGTTAAAGTGGGAGGAGAGGAAGACTTGATGTCCCTAATCTATGGGATACAGCACTGAGGGGCATGGTGGAAATCCAAGGTACCCCTGAGGTTTCAAGTCTGGAAAGTTGAGAGAATGGTGATGCCATGAACAAAAATGGAAGAAATGAGTAGGAGCCTGATTTGAGATGCAGGATGGGGAGTTTGCTTTCAAACATATTGAGTCACTGTAGATAAAGATTTAGGGGTCACTTGTAGAAGTGAACTTTGAAATCAGGAGGGTAAATACCACTAAAAAGGGAGAAGAAAGGGGCCAGGGGCCTTCCTTTGGTGGATTGTGGAAGGGCTGGGGCAGCATTCAGAGAAGTGCAAGTGAGCCAGGGAAAGCAGTGGTCCAGGTGTGGGAGCCCAGACCACCAAGGGGAGGAAGCAGTCAAGGGACTGGGCTGCTGCCTGGAACATGGTGGGTCTCCAGAAAGTCTTTTGAATTGAACTGAGAGAGACAGGAGATGATAGAGATTTGGTGATCAAGTGGTCTTTGGTGTCCTTGATAAGGGCAGTTTCAGAGGAGAGTGGCCACAGGCAGAGACTGTGGAACAAGAAGATGGTGAGGAGGGGGAGCTCGGTCAGTGGACTGTTCTTGAGAATGATTTGCTGGAGAAGGAGAGGGGATAGGCAGAGACTTGGGAGAGTAGCACTGCATTGGGAACATTCCTTCTTTATTTTGATTTATTTTTTGTTGAATGGAAGATTCTTTAAATTCTGCGTGACTTACAGTTTTTGAAAGTTTCACACATACTATTTCATATAATTCCATAATAACCCTTTTTCTCCCTACCCCTATATTGCCCCTCCCCCTCCCTTTCCCCACTCATAACCACTAGTTTGTTCTCTGTATCTGTGAGTCTACTTCTTTTTTGTTTTATTCACTAGTTTGTTGTATTTCTTAGATTCCACATATAAGTGATATTATAGAGCATTTGTCTTCTCTGTCTGACTTATTTCATTAGCATAATGCCCTCCAAGTCCACCCATGTTGCTGCAAATGGCAAATTTTCATTCTTTTTTATGGCTGACTAGTATTCCATTGTGTATACATTCCACATCTTCTTTATCCATTCATCTGATGATAGACACTTGAGTGGCTTCCATACCTTGGTAATTGTGAGTAATAGAACTGTGAACATTGGAGTACACATATCTTTTCAAATTAGTGTTTTTTTTCAGATATATACCCAGGAGTGGAATTACTGGGTCATATGGTAGGAACATTTCATTTTTTAGGTAAGAGAGACTTGAGAAGCCCATGGAAGGGATGGATGGAAAGGAGAGACTGAGGAATACGGATGGAGTGGGACTCAGAAGGGTGGAGGCGATGCTCACTAGCCTGGCAAAGGGGAGAAGCTGGGGGAGGAAAGCGAGCCAGGCTGAGGTGGAGGGAGTTCACAGGTGAGGGCCTGTCTTTTCAGTACACTATGAAGTGAGGTCACTTGCTCAGAGGAAGGAAGTGGGAGTAAGGTTATGGATTTGAACACAGTGACTGCAGATTGGAACAGCTCCTTTCGGGGAAGATGTGGGGAGGCAGCTGAGATCTAGCGTGTCGAGCAGCAGCAACTGGGCAGAAACGAGGGAAGCCCAAGGCTCTGTGTGTCCCAGTGTAGCATGCCTGCTGCTACTGATTCTGGGCTCCAGGCTCACAGGAAGGCAAGGGAAACCAGGTGGAGGTGACAGAGGCCTGGAAGTCATGAACAGGACAAAATAAGGTGTATAGAAGGAATGAGAGAGTAAGAAGGAGGAACTAGAGAGGACACTATTGGATCACGTATTTTCTCATGTTCCCCTCTTTTTGTAAAATATTTTTTATCTCACTCCCTTATGCTCCCAGCCTTATACCCCTGATGATTTGTGACTAGTCCTTCAGTATTATTCTGGATGCATATTATACAAGGCAGAAAAAAATCTAATGGAAATCGATCCTTGAATGTATTGGCTGCTAAAATTGATTCCAGGGATTGTGTTAAGCATTCACTATACATTGTCTTATCTACTGCTCATGAAAACTCTTTGAGTTTAAAAAATAAGCTTCAATATTCCTTTTTAAAGACAGTCACAGAGAGAATAGATAACTTGTTCAGGGTCACATGGGTAGTGAATGATGAACTCAAGTTTTGGACCCAGGCAGGTTGACTTGAGCACTTAGCCACTTTTCCAAGTGGCCTCCCTTCCAAGACCTCCTGGAGTTGTCCTGGAATGACCACGTCGCTTTTTTCAGTTGCTCATATTGTCATCGTAGTAGCAACAACCAGCATTTTTTTGGCCTCTACAGTTTGCAAATCATCTTCACATACATTATTTCCCTTGATCTTAACGTCACTCCTGTGAGGTTTGCAGCTACATACAGGATGGAGACCCCCAACTCCCCCATCTCTGTGTCTTTATTCCTGGAAGTCTTTAAAGTTTTGTCATTACAGAGCTGCGAGAAGACCAAGAGATTGTAATCTTTTTCTTCTCCCCTCTCAAATATATTAGACCCTTTTTCCTAAAGGAGCTCTCTCTACAGACCTTCTGCTTCTTTCCAGGTCATAGAACCCTGTATGTGGGGGTCCGGATGCCACTGGGCCGGCAGAGCCATCGGCACCACCGAACCCACGGCCAGAAGCACCGGAGGCGAGGGCGGGGCAAAGGAGCCAGCCAGGGGGAGGAAGGCTCGGAGGCCCTGGCCCATGGTAACGCCCTCGCACCCTCAGGAGAGGGTGGGTGTCCACGGTGGGAGGCCTGGCAAGGCTGGGGAGATGTGTGGTGTGGGCATCGGGAAGGTGGTCCTGATTATCTAGCCCTTCTGTAGACTTTCCCAGCCTGCTTCCAAGAAGAAGATATGCCTCTAAGAATCAAAAATATCTTCCCGAAAACTTCAAAGTTCAGGCCCCCAAAAATCCATATCACAGAATGTGAAATCATTTTCTAAAAACTTAGCCATTCTTTGTGATCAAATTTGTCAGATTGTCAGTTTCTAGTGGATTTTCTTTAAGTGATGTTACTTGATGATTTTTGCCTCCCATGAAACTGCTTCCAAAGAATAGCTTTTTTTTTTTCTGGGGATAAAGGAATCTTTCTGATCTGAGTTTGATCTGATTGTGCTCTATATGTTCCTGAGATTGAGAGGCCCCCAGGTGTGCTAAGTATGGCAGAAGGCTATTTCTGTTATAAGTTGAGGCTGGGAGCAGACCTTTCTCTGTGGCTGAATTTCCAGACACACCATCTCAGCGTGTTCAGTTCATTCTTGGCACTGAGGAAGATGAGGAGCATGTGCCTCACGACCTGTTCACAGAGCTGGATGAGATCTGTCTGAAAGAGGGAGAAGATGCCGAGTGGAAGGAGACAGCCAGGTGAGGCCCTAAAATAACCTGGGTCAAGATTTGCTTGGGTAGCAAATGTGTACCTTTCAGCAAGTGACAGGCCTGCCTGCCTTTCATATTTCTTCATGGGAGAGGTGATGACTGATGGTCCAGGGTCTTCTGTGGGAAGTCTTGGTGCTGGCCTCTTTGTGATGTCTCTGGAAACACCTACGCCAGTTGACTTGAACCCAGAATTGATGACCGAAATACAGAACATTTAGGGGTTCCTCTCTCATTTGTTTGGGGCCCGGAGTGGTTCATGGGCACTTGAGGTTCTAAGTCTGGCTTAGAAGATGCCTGATGGGGCCACTTTGGTTTAGACCCAGCCCAGCAGACAGCATAGGTCCAGCCTTTTCCTGCAGGTGAACCATAGTATCATTTGGGTTTCAATTTACTGGAAGTTCCAGAATTTTTGAGACATCCAGTGGACAGTCTAATTTCATAGAGACCTCTGGGATTATGGCCAGCCTGACAGTGGGCTTCCCTGGATTAATTGTGGAATGACTATGCTTATCTGAGACTCAAACCCCAGAAAAGCCCTCAGATTAATCAGGCCGTGTCTAGGGCTCCTGTAGTAACTGATGAGTGAGCCTTATGGGCGATACAAAGCCGGCATGCCTGAGACTCAGGGAGAGAGGTGAGGAGGCTCCAGCTCTCGTTGGAGCAGTTCTTCCTGGATGCCTGCTGCGTCTGTGGATGTTTTCTGTGGGTAGAGACGATTAAAGAAGCCAGACAACCTCATACCAAACAAAAGGCAATTCGTCTTATCATTCTGGCTTTGCAAACTTTTGAAGGTCACTCCGGTAGGTTTTTTTTTCTTAAAGAAAAATATAGTCATTAATGTGATTTGTCAGTGTATTCAAATGATGTACATTAGATCTATTTTGTACATTGTACAGGTAATGTGTGCCCATGATAGAAAATTAGAAAATAAAGATAAGCAAAAAGAAGGTGAAAATTATGTGAAATCCTACTATCCCAGGCATAGTGAGGAATATAACATTTGGTGTCTTATTCAAGTGTGTGTTTGTATTTTAAATTTTTCTTTAAATAAAGGTAGAATCAGACTCAACGCAATTTTGCACTGTTTCATAACCTGCTTTTTCCGCTTCCCAACGTACCCTGAACACATGGATTAGACTTCAGTGTTCAATATGATTATTCAGATATCTTTCTCTGTGGCTTACATTAAAAACTGTCTCCTGAAATTCCTCATTTTCTGTCTTTGGCATCTGGCTGTTTGTGATGCTTTCAGGTGGCTGAAGTTTGAAGAGGATGTCGAGGACGGGGGAGAACGCTGGAGCAAGCCTTACGTGGCGACCCTATCACTGCACAGTCTCTTTGAGCTCAGGAGCTGCCTTATCAATGGGACGGTCCTCCTGGATATGCGAGCAAATAGCATAGAAGAAATTTCAGGTGAGCTGAGGTGAGGGAAAACAGAGGAACGCTGGTGCCAGCTAAGGAGTGTGGGGTAACCCCTTATGCCTGCATGCAGAGACCTGGGCCAGGGCAGCCGCATCCTACCCAGGTCAGGGGAAGCATCCAGTTCCCTGGGCCAAGGGCAAGGCTGGCTCAAGTATGGCTAGATGAGACTTTTACTCCAAGTTCAATTTAATTCGCAAACATTCCCTGGAGGTGCTCTCTGCCAGGTACCGAGGGCGAGATTAGGGTGCACTACCTGCTTTGCAGGGCCCAGTGCAGAATGAAAATGTGGGCCTACGAGGGCCCTACAGAGCTTCTTCCTTTCTTCCATGGTCTCTCTCTTGACTTGTCATGCTGTTTTATATTTGCTATTTCATTTCATGCATAATAAAGAAAAATTCAAAATGAAAAAAAAGTGTGGGGTAGAGGAAAGAAGAAAGTGACTGTGTGTCCTTGGGCAAGTCACTTACCTTCCTGACTGCAGTGTCCTCAGCTGTGGGATGGGTTTCAAACTAAGAAATTGCTCTACCTGTTTCACAGGCTTATTATTGAATTCAAGTGACATGGTGTGTGGTCCTCCGTTCTCCTGTTCATTCCACAAACGTATTTTGTGGGGGAAATAGCCAGAGCAATTAAATAAGTACAACAACAGAGCTCTGGTTTGGTAACAATGAAAGAAAAGGGCAACCAGAAGCTGTGCAGAGAAAAGGGGGTTAGAGTTTAAAAAGATTTTAAAATACGGCAGCCAGGGAGGACGCAAAAGAAATTGAGCCAAAGGACCCCGGCTTCTTCAGCAAGATGTGAAGAGGAGACGTCTGCTGGAGTCTCCCAGGACGGTTGAGTGGTCAGTCATTATGTTTGGGGAACAGAGTTTGAGAAATACGTGGGTGCATGTGAAGATTTTCCTCAGCTTGGCTCTGTTTGGCTGGACAGGTTAACTAAAGATTGCTCCAAACTTTTCTGTGTTTGAAGTATCCAAGTAATTCTGCCCCTCTAGGGTCACATGGGGACCCCAGGAGGGGTCAGCAGCACTGATGAGATCTTGTGTCATCTCTGAAGGCTCTAGGGGAAAGTTACTCCTTGCCTCTTTCAGTTTCTAGCTTATAGTGGCTGTAGGTGTCCCTTGGCTCATGACTGCATAACTCCAACTTGCCTCTGTCTTCACCTGGACTTCTTATCTACGTCTCTTATAAAGATATTTGCCAGTGTCATCCAAGATGATCTCATCTTGAGATCCTTAATTCCATCTGCAAAGACCCTTTTTACAAGTAAGATCACGTTCACAGGTTCTGGGGGATTAGTACCTAGATATATCTTTTGAGGGGTCCATCATTCAACCCACTACAAAGTCAAGAGGGGAGAGAGTTTCAATTCATCAGTGTCAAATGCTGTAGAGAGGTCAGGTTAGATAAGGACTAGAAACATCCAACAGATTTAACAACTGGAAGTCGTTGATGATTTTACCGAAAGCAATTTCATTGAGGTGGCCAAATTGCAGGGGTCTGAGGAATTTTTCTTTTGAGAATTTTAAGTGGAGAGAGAGAGAGAGAGGGCGAGGGAAAGAGCGAGAGTGCAGTAGATAAAGGGACGTCTGGAGTGGACATTCTTCTTTTTTTCCCCAAGATGAAGGATCCTGAAATGTTTATAATACGGGGCAATCAATCAATTTAACCAGTCAGTATGAAGGTTAAAGACAGAGAAACATGGATCTTTGGCTTGAATGTTTGAAAAAGATGTTCTTTATTGCTTTTAGCAGGTTGGGTAGTCATGGGTGGAATTAGAGTTGAGAACAGGTTGGAATTTGGGGGAGGCAGGGGAGGGGTAGGTATGTAGTATTGAAGTGAAACTGCTGTGGTTCTTCACATTAGATACCTGAGGTGTTCATGTTAGTGATAAGATTGAACAAACAGAGTCAAGTGTTTACTGTGAATTAACACTTTATATATATTATCTCAATAATTTTTCTTGACAACCTTCTAAGGTAGGTGATAATATTAGCTCCATGTTACAGATGAGGAAACCGAGGCACAGAGAGGTTATGTAACTTGCCCAAGATCACACAGCTAGAAAGTGGTAGAAATGGGGTAGAATTTGGGCCTTTAGCTCTAGAACCCACACAGTTGACTGCTGTGCTGACTGCCTCTTAATAGCAGGTATTGGAATTTTTTTTCCCCTCAACTCTGCTGGGCTTGGCAGGTAAAGGTTGATGCTTGTGATAATTGGGGCGCTTAATCAGGAATAACTTAATTATTCTTATACAGTCAACCTTCAAACAGTCATTTGGAGTTCTACAGTCATAGTTTCTCGTGACAATCACAGCAATTTAAAAATCTCGGAGGAAGGGAATGTAGAGGAACTTTGACAGATGACAGAACCAAATAGTAATATTGTGGGCTTTTGAATCAGATACTCTTGGGTTTGAATCCCAGCTCTGCAACTTACTAAATGTGAGACCTTGGGGAATGTTGTAGCGTTTGGGCCTCAGTTTCCTAGTCTATAAACTTGTTATAATATAGAGTTTTTGTAAGGATTAGATTAGATAGTTATGTAAAAAGTTCTTAGTATAGTTCCTGGCATATATTAAGTGCTCAATAGTTTCTATTTCTAATAATAATGATTTTTCACATGAATAAAATCTAACATGTCACAGCTGCTGTCATCAAATAGCTCTTTGAGGCACTGAAGCAGAAATTGTACTTCAGTGACCCTGGTAGAACTGCTTCCCCCTACCCCTTGCCCCTTACCCCTCACCCCACCTGACCTTGACCTCTTTGGGTTCACTGATAATCAGTGTGAGTGTTCATGTAAGTACCTGCTTTCCAGACCTGATCCTGGACCAGCAAGAACTGTTCAGTGACCTGAATGACAGCATGAGGGTTAAAGTACGAGAAGCCCTTCTCAAAAAGCACCATCATCAGAATGAAAAGAAGAGAAATAACCTCATCCCCATTGTCCGTTCCTTTGCTGAAGTGGGCAAGAAGCAGTCTGATCCACATTTAATGGATAAACATGGTAAGACTATTAGGAGTCGGGGTTTTCTCTTTTTATTAATAAGACATTTGGGAACTAGTTGGCGATGGTAAGTTACTAGAGGGTAGGAGCTTTATTTCTCTAATATGCTTTCATACTCACTTAGATACAGTCCTTTCAGGTGTTTGGCAAGATGGGTGGCAAGACTGGTGACCATCTATCTCTTGTGGCATTAGGAATACGTGCCTCAGATCTCAGTGGACCCCAGGGGAGAGGTTTGTGCCCCCCAAATGGCTTCAGAACTGATGTGGCTTTGGGAGATGGCCACACTGGGGGATAATTTGGGGCCAGAGAAGGTTAACTGGAGCTTTTTTTTTTTTTAACAGACGTACTGGTGATTGAACGCAGGACCTTACACATGCTAAGCATGTGCTCTACCACTGCACTGCTATCCATACCCCACCTGGAGCTTTTTAGGAGTGAACAAATGTCTTGGATTAGGGAGACAAAATGCAGTAGTATAGACTCCTGGGCCAGACTTCTAGGCTTGAGATTCTAGCTTCACCTCTAGCAAAGAATGTGACCTTGGGTGACCTCCTAAACACCTTTAAGTCTTACTTTCTCTGTAAAATAAGGATAATAATAAGATCTTCTCTGTCAGTTTATTGTGAGGCTTCAGTTAATCCATGTCAAGCTCTTTGCCAGGTGCGTAGTGAATTGTAAACATTTGGTGAACTTCAGCTGCTGGTTGGTTTCCTTTCCTGTGGCCAGGAGGAGCCTAATCTACACTGGGCTCTTGGTCCCCACACTCACTGACCCACAGTGTGCAGGGAGCAGGCCTGGGAATCCATGTATTTGAAAAGTTCTCCATAGACGTTTCTGATGTGCCCTTCTGATTAAGGATTACTGCCCCAGTAGAGGAAGAAAAGAGGATCACCACTGGTTCAGGAAGAGGGTGAGGAGTAGTGAGACCTCTGTTCCTTTATCACTAACTAGTAGGTAAGGAGCTAGCTAGCTGTGTGTGGGGCCGAGCTTCCTAGTCCTCTTCACATCTTCTCCATGTGGAATCTGCACGAGATGGTTGTCGCCAACCGATGATGGGTGGGCTGCTTCAAAGCAGGAAAAGGGCAGACTCAGAGAATTCTGTTTGATTTTCTCCAAATAGGTCAAACCGTGTCTCCTCAGTCCATTCCAACTACAAATCTAGAAGTGAAAAATGGTGTGAATTGTGAACACAGTCCTGTGGATTTAAGCAAGGTGAGCAGAGACATAGGTGTCTGTCTCATGGAACCCTGGGTCTAGTTGCTGGAAGCTGGGTAAGCTTGGTATTTCAACACCCCTTCTCCAGAACCAGGGCCCCTTCTGCAGAGAAGGAGGCCCATCTGCTCATGTCTTCCTTTTCCAACCCAGATGACACCGACCGGCCACTGATAATTCTCCCTGACGCACACCTCCTGGTTTTTCAGGATTACTTTTTGGTACCCACTCTCCAGCAGCTCCTTCTTCCTCCAAGGCTTTTGCCAAAACCATATTTTTGCTACTGTCTCCTAAAACTACTTTGTGGCTGGAACTCTTCTTGGGGACTGTGACTTTGGTGTCCGGAGCCTCTTGCAGGAGCAGGGCCTCCCTGCAGCTTTGAGTTCAAGCCCTGATCTCCCTGTTGCCAGCCTTCCCTTACTCTGTTCTCTCCCTGACACTGTCTTTCCAAAACATGGAGAGTGTTGTGTCACTTCTCAGCCCATGAGGCTCCCTGAAACCCCAGACAAAGCATGTCAGTATTTAAAAATGGAAATAATTTGACTCAGAGCTTCAAAAACATGATGTAATGGAATTCTTTGAGGAAGCATGATGTAATGGAATTCAAATCAGAGACCCTGGATTTAAATTCTCTCTCTTAGAAGCTCTGTCTTCTTGGGCAAGTCAACTTTACCTCTCTGGGTCTCAGTAGCTTCTTTTTGATTTTATTATTTTATTATTTTAAATGTTACTTTTATTTATTTATTTATTTATTTATTTATTTATTTATTTATTTAAAGGAGGTACTAGGGATTGAACCCAGGACCCTGTACATGCTAAGCACATGTTCTATGAACTGAGCTATGCCCCCTCCCCTATACTTCTTTCTTTTAAAAAAAAAAATGGGGCAAATGCAACCTACGTTGTCCACATCACAGAATTATTGTAAGGATCAGGTGAAATAGTACAAGAAGTGTGTGTTAAGTGATTGCATGTCATATGAATATAAGGTCTGAGGAGGGTGATGGATGTGTGAAGTGACAGCTCCCAAGTTGTCCTTTGGATTTTCAGGTGGACCTTCACTTTATGAAAAAAATCCCCACTGGGGCAGAGGCCTCGAATGTCCTGGTTGGAGAGGTGGACACGCTGGACCGCCCCATCGTTGCCTTTGTGAGGCTGTCTCCGGCCGTCCTTCTGTCAGGCCTGACGGAAGTGCCCATCCCAACAAGGTAAAGACCAGGACCGCAAAGCTCAGTGTGTTCCGTCCAATGTACATGTTTGTGTGAACTCTGGAAAAGAAACCAGCTCATGCCAAAATTTAGGATTAATTAATTTGGGGAATGCTGTTTAAAACTCAGCAGAGATCTCAGGAAACTGGGGTATATTTGATTAACCTCTGGGTGGAAGAGTTGTAAGACTTTGAAGCCTATGACTGCACAGTTCCTGTGGCCTTAGAACTGGAGAACCAAAGAGCGTTCAAAGGGCGTAGCGAGGGCCCCTCACTTTTTATGATGGGAAGCCTGACTCACTCCTTGAGTTCTGCAGAGCCATAGCTCAGGGCGACATCTCTGAGCAGAGCTATTGATGTCTCTTTCCACAGTTCTGGCAGGATTTGTATGGTTTGCAAGTATGTCCACATTTGTTCAAAAGGCTATTCATGCACTCTGAAGGTGATGTGTCAGGTGATTCAGAGCCCCGTTAATTATAGAGTATTCAGATGTCTGGGACATGGTTTAGACTCCTCCACAGGGCTTGATCATTTCAACTTCCTTATCCCTCTCCTCTCCCTATCATTTTCTTATTAGAGAAATGAATGAAATTCAGATAACCTTGAATTTGCACTACAATGCCATGTTTTGAAAAAGCGTCCTTTCTGTAGCAAGGAATTGTGTCTATGGCAACCCTGAGAATTATAAGCACACTATTGAATGGAGTCATACAAATAGCGTCCAATGTCTGTAGTAGAGCTGTTAAGTCAAGGCTACTCATACGGCTCCATCATTAGTCTGTCTCCTTTTACTGAAAGTAATGTGATGATTTCTGTTTGATAAGAGAGAGAAATGTTCCACTGTTTAGAGAGGAGCCAGATGCTACTTCTTTATGTTTACTTACATAATTTCATCCTCTGTGTGTGTTGCCAGATTTTTGTTTATCCTGTTGGGTCCGGTAGGGAAAGGTCAGCAGTACCATGAGATTGGCAGATCCATGGCCACCATCATGACAGATGAGGTATGCATCACTTCCGCTTTCCATACATTTATCTCATAAATATTTACTCTGTGCCAGGCAGTGTGCTAGTTGTTGGGGGTAAAATAATTGCAGTATCTTCTGGGAGGCACTTCAGGTCACTTCTCTGACTGTCTATTGTGGGAGGACCAAGCCCTCTGGGGGATTTTTCTTCCTCTGTCATCTCTCCCTTTTTGAATCATCAAAGATGCAGAGAATTCTTTTTCTGAGAAACTTGTTGCCAAGTAGGTTACCTAGAGAGAAAGGTATTAAGGCTGACTCGACTTTCTAGAGAAGATGGTTAATTAAATGCATCCAAGCTATTTACATAAAGAAACCTCATTCCCATTTCATGTAAATGAGACTAGTTAGCATAAGGGTCAGGGGGCTGCTCTTGGGTGCTGTAATGTGAATGTACCAGCGTGACTAGACACTAGTCTGCCATGGTCCTGATCACGCTGCTGCATCCCCTGGTGAGAACTGTGATGCTCAGGTAAGTTGCAAGCAGAGCTTTCAAGACATATGTCTTAGCAGGCAGAGGGAGATAAGGCTGTGTTTTATCAGCTCTCTGATTGGGAGGCTTATTTCATGGAAGACCTTCTTTAGTAATTCCATCCAATTTTCCCAATCATTATGATCAGGAAAAATTTCCCATGCATCTTGGCTTTTGTTGCATTCTTTGAGGAGGTAACAGAATTATAAAGCTTTAGAGTCATGTCTTATCTCTTCCTTTACTAATGGACATAGATTTAATTTTTTGACTTATCTTCAGGTTTCTTTCTTTATCCCTTTATCCATATACTAGTCTAAGTACTAAAGTTATCCACATTTCAGATCCCCGAGACAGAGGTGAAAATCTTTTATCCATTCTTCACCATATCCATTGGTGCTTGTTTTAATTAAAGTGACTTTCAGCTTTCCTGAGGGTTTTTCTTCTCTGTAGATTTTTCATGATGTGGCATACAAGGCAAAAGAGCGAGACGACCTGCTGGCAGGGATTGATGAGTTCCTAGACCAGGTGACGGTGCTGCCTCCAGGGGAGTGGGACCCATCCATTAGGATTGAGCCACCCAAAAACGTCCCTTCCCAGGTAATGTATGCACATGAGCTGGTGGTGGCTTAGTGTCACTTACTGAGTGCCCACCATGGACAAAGCAAAACCATGGGGGTGTGTGCTAAATAAATTGACATGGTTCTGTTTCAGGGCACCTAATGTCAGAACAGTAATAAAATATGAATATGCAGTAACACAGATTGGTTTAGGTGTCATGGGATCAGTTAGGATTACCCTGGGATTTTAATGTTAAGCCAACTTTTGAAGGGTTGATGGGGAATGGCAGAGAGAAGAGAGGAGAATACTTCTTGAGAATATACCATTGAATGAAAAGAACAAATTGTATAGAGAGAGCATAGAGTTCCCCACACTTTTTTCAAGAGGCTAAAGATGGCAGGGAACTGCCACTGTGCACCATTACTAGGTCAGGTGCTTTACGTATGCTAACTAAGTCTTCCTGGCAACATCTCCAAATAGGTATTATTATCCTTGGTTTTACAAATGAGGACTAAGAAAACTATCTTCAAGGTTTTAAGGTAAAGATTATAGAGAGGCAGATTTGAAACTTGAATTCAGGTCATATTTGGTGCCAAAGCCTTCACTTTTCTGTTTTTGGGCAAGGCAGAGTTAGGAGTCAGGTACTAGTGGAGGGAGGAGAAATTGTGTGTGTGTGTGTGTGTGTATGTTTGTGTTTCAGGAAAGTCAATAAACTGCCCCAAATCAGTGAATGCATTTGAAAGCTACAATAAATACCTGGTATTTGGGGGCTGCTTTTGGATTTTCTCATCACCACTCCCCCCTGTTAGCAGGAAGGACAACATAGATGGCTGACTTTACTAATTTTGTGGTCCTCTGTTAAAAGGAGAAAAGGAAAATGCCTGGAGTCCCAAATGGAAATGTTTGCCATATCGAACCGGAAGCACATGGGGGCCACAGCGGACCAGAGCTTCAGCGCACTGGGCGGTGAGTGCTGGGATGTTTCACATCCAATACTGCTTACTGGGCAGAAATTGTATAAAAGAATGAGTCATCTTCTTTGCTTTCAGTCTTCTTCTCTACATTATCTTTACTGGCTGGGAGTGACTTTTCAAATGGAACCACTGACTAGAAGTATTACGATTATGTCAAATATTGCATTCATTTGTTCATGTTTCTTAAACCACCTACTATGTTCTTTCTCACCTCCCATCCTTCCCACACATTGTTCCTTCTGATTTGAACACTCGTCCCCTTCCTCATCTCTTGGCTAACTACTCCTTTTCCTTTGTCTCAGCTTCCTTTGGCAAGCCTTCCAGGACTCTCTCTAGAAGAGTTCAGGTGTTCCTGCTATGTGGTGTCACAGCTTTGAGCCTCTGTCCCCTGCCGCCTGCCACCCCCAGCCCCGTGTTGTAGCCCTGATCATACTTTATTATTTCTTGCTTTGTTATCTTTCCTGCCAGAATGTTTGCTGCATAAGGGCAGGGACCCCATTAAATTCCTAGCACCCAGTGCCCTGCACAAAGTAGGCACTCAATTAATATCTGATGAATGAATGAATGAGTGGATGAGTACTTTTAGAATGATGCCTTTCTGTAGCATGAATGGACAAGGCATGGATAAATATAGAATGGTTATTTTCAGTTAAGAAACCCCTTGGGGTAGGAAAACAGGTACTATTTTAGGTGTGTGTCTCAGAATAGGCAATCTACTTTTCAGGGCCAAGATTTTATGGACAGATGTCCCAGGAGGTGATTCTCTATGGCAGGTAAGGAAAGCAGGTTCCCAGACTAGGAGGCCTTATGTTCTAGGTAGGAAGGTGGTAAAAAAACCAAAAAGGGTAGTATTTGAGGTTGGAGTGGCATCCAGAGGTGTCCCCCAGATCATGGGAGAAGATTGAGACAGTGGCTCTGGCTCTGTAAGTTGTGCTTGTGTCTAAGAAGGATCTTTTGAATGGAAGTTCTCAGGACAGGACTCAGATGATGGAAAGGACGTTTTAATGTTCTCTACTCTATTGCTTTCACCTTATTTTTTCCCTCCTTGCTTGAAATTGTTTTCCTTATTTCTCTATGCAATGGAAACTCAGGATTTTTTGCTTGTATGTTTGTTTGTTTTTTGAAATGTGGAGAGAGATTTATTTTTCCACTTTTGGAAATTCAGGGAGAGGACAGGAGAGGAGACTGAGAAGCAGGAGAGAATGACACTTAACTAGCAGTGTCCTGATGGGGAGAATGTTTCCTGCTTGGAGAAAAGTATTAGAGGGTGGGGAGAGATAAAGAGGCTGTGGGGAGGGATCCCTGGAGCAGAGGAAGACCCCTTTGATGGAAGGTGTCACTGAAAAGAGGGAGCAACCTCCAAGAGTAAGTTTCACATTTTCTTGAAAGTCGGAATAGGTTTGAACTGGGTAGGGAGGCCTGGTACTGAGAAGCCGTTCAAAGGAAGCATCTGTCTTTAGAATAGTTTCCAGGATTGAGGCTGTCTGAGAGGAGGTGGTATTTTTTAAGGGGAATGGTCTTGGGTATGGGTTTGATAGAACTTCAGAGTTATGATTTATCCTTTTGAATATAATGGGTACCATACCTCAGGACTTAAGAGTTTGAAAGTAGTAGAAATGAGGCCAGTAGTTTTTTTCCAAACACATAATCCATGCAGAGGTGAGATTTCATCTTTCTTTTGGTGTGAAAAAGAGGAGAATAAACTTGGGCCCCAGGCCTTTTGAAGTGAGGGGGGGGCGCTTATAATCAGTTCCACATGGGGGTTTGGGACCCCATTAATTTAGATCTTCTCTTGGAAATGGTACCTAATATCCCAAAAGAAAATCCCAGATAGCCAGGACCATGACACACTTAATTGCCAACCCCAAGTACCTTTACTCACAAATTCAAATGGGGTTTGAGGAAGTTCTCCTGTAATGTTGTATGAGGAACTCCTGGAATTGACACAGCTGAAAGGAAGGGTCATCTGGACTTAGAGCCTCATTCTGCTTAGTGTGTGAGATGTGGCCTCTTCCTGAGCTCCAGAAGTTTTCCTCAGAGCCCTTAGTAAAAGACCTTAAGACACATGACCTTCCTCCCCTTGTCACCTTTTAGGCCAGGTGACCTAATGCGCATATCAGGGATCATAGTTCATGCCAACTCTGGCCCTTTTCCCAATCTCAAATTATGTAGGGTGAACATGAACCTTGCCCTGCAGATGGACATTCTAGAATTTCCTGGACCTTCCTGGACTGCACAGACTAAAACTGCATTAGCCTAGGTGTTATAATTCTTCATACCTTCAGCTGTGTCTCTTTGAGATAGCACACCATCTGGGGATGTTATCACCGTTGGATGGAGAGGTATTTAAGATATGGTAATGTAGGCTCTAAGAAGGTGGGAAAGGAGACAAAGTTGAAAACAGTCTGCGTTCTGTATTATCTGACCCCCAAGCCAGGGCTGAGACAGTGTCTTGGGCCTTCCTAATGCAGATGTAGGCAGTGGTACCGATGAATTCCCATACGGAACCAAGAGGAAGGTCTGGCCAGAGCCATGCTAGGCCAGAAGCTTCACAGCAGAGAGGATACTCTGGAAGGGGGTTTCCAAGGTAGACCTGTGGACCTCACTGGGGATGCCACTTTGGGGAAGGGTTAATGAAGGAAAGAATCAGGAGCGGCTATCTCGATGGTCCCCTCCCTCCCCAACACTTCAAACAGGTTTCTTCCAAAGCACAGCAGACAAATGGATGGCTGGCCCGTCCCTAAAGCCCTCCTGAGAGGGCTTCCTAAGTCAGTGCTCCAGAGCCTAGTGAGTCTCTATGCGGGTAAGTCCTTTCTTGCATCAGGGTTAAATTCATATCCCTGTGTGCCTCTCCCCCCAGACTTGAATATCAAGAGTAGTGTTGAAGGGGAAGGAAGTCTGAAATGTGGAGAGAAGCATCCATGCCTGATTACTGTCTGTGCTAGATGTGCAGTTATAGTCTGCATGAGAGAGGGATGAGGCTGACTGCGTAAACAATATTTGGAAATCATTTTATTAATTTATAGTTATACCACTGATAAGAGCCTCAGATCTTTTCTCTCCGCTTTCAATCACTGCTAGGCAGACAGATGTCCTCCCTTTCTCTGGCTTCTCATAAATCCATTTCATATAAATCTTTTGCCTGTTACTCACAGATACTCCTCCTTGAAGGCACCTCCCGCATCCAGGAGGACCAATTATGGCAGCAGCATACAGAGAGACTCATTATTGCAAAAGGTTACTCTCCCGGAGTAACACCCTTCATAGGAAGGTCATTGGTGATTGGGAGGCAGTAGTCACATGGTACTAAAGATGCTGTGTTGGCTAAGGACCCAGAAACACTTGAATCTTGCCCCAGACTAATCGCGGCTGCCCACAACGTCCTTGAGGGGCTATCTACCCAGAGGAGAAAGCAAGGCCAAGTGACACTTTATTCCCAACTGTAGCCTTGGTCCCAAACCCTGAGGCAGAACTCTTGTGCTCTTGCGGATAGCTCCTTACCTCAGCTGGATTGGCCAGACAGGCTCTAACCAAAGCGAGTCTCAAGGCTGGCTCTGCCTCTCTCCCCTAATCCCAGACCCAGGTTGTGATGTTACTGCTGTAAGTTGAGGAAGGGTGAATCCCAACTATGCCCACCGAACCAGAGGAAAAGAGCAGGTGGGTAAGATAGAACCTGTCTGCCCGTGCCCGCCTGCCCGCCATTGTACCTGGCTGGACAGGAGGGAGAGCTTTCGAATGGTGGGAGAGAGCTGGCTGGGCCTTCCTCCCTGGCATCCGGGTCCCAGGTCCCGTGGGGCACCTCTAGGCTCCTGGGCAAAGAGAAGGGAAGAGCTAGCCAAGCCTCCTTTCATGAGAGAGTAGCTTGGGTTTTTGTTTTGGCTTTTTATTATAGAAAATTTCAAACATACCAACAAGAAGAGAGGAAAGTAATGAACCTCTCCTATCAAAACTTTGCCAATCTTGTTTCATCCTTTTCTCCCCAACTTAAATTGTTTTGTTTTTATGTTTTCTAGATTATTTTAAGCCAAATCACCAGTATCATGTCATTTCACCTGTGACTACTTCAGCAAGTATCTCTTCAATAAGGACATTAAAAAAATCATGCCATTAAGAAATCTAACAAAATTAACAGTAATTCTTTAAATTGTCTCATGCTCAGTCCATATTCAAGCTTTTTTGATTGTCTTAACAACATCTTTTTAGAGTTCATTTTTTGGCATAGGATCCAGTGGAGGTTTGTATTTAGTTATTCTGTTTCCATTTCTATAACAGCTTGCTCTCCTTTTTTCCCTATGCCATTCATTTGTAGAAGAAACACAGTAATTTGTCCTGTGGAATGCTGAGTGGTTATTTTTGTTACTCACCTGTCAACTTTTACCCTGGTGTGGTGACTCCACTTTTAGGAAAGTACCCCTGTCTGGGCACACTCCTCCTCCTGGTGTCGGACATCTTGCTCTTGGTCTGTGTCATCCTTGGGAAGTGGAGAGGGGTCCTGAAGTCCTGCCACCAAGTCCTGTTGATTCTACCTCCTGATGAGCCCTTGAGTGTACATACTTCTCTTCTTTCCAACCCACTGCCTCCAGTCTTGCCCCACATTCCATCATGACACCCCTGCCAGAGTGATCCTTCCAGAATGCCTGCTCAATTTTGCCGCTTCCCTGTTTATAGTCCTTCAGTACTGACATGCCACTCGGATAAAGTTCCAATTCCTTAAAACAGTTTAGACAACCCTTTGCGACTCAGCTTTTCCGGCATCTCCAGCCTTGTCCATCTCCACACTGTCTTATCCAGCCCTAACTCTCAGCACCTCGAACCCTCCATGCGCTCTCACCTCTAGGTGTCATCCACGCCAGCTCCTCGGCCTCATCTGGCTAACTCCTGGTCCATTCTCAAGTCCCCGCTGACACGCCCCTCCCTGTTCTCTGCTGCCATGGCGCCCTCACAACACTGCCTGTCTCCTGCACGAGACTGTTGGTCCCAGAGAGAAGGGCTGTGTTTGTCTTGCTACTGCTGCATCTGCAGTACCCGGCACAGGGCCTGGCACGGAGTATCTGCTACTACTTGTCAACTGCATGAGTGAATAACTTTGCTAATTTCTCAAGAGGAAGGTGGGTAGTTGTTCAGAGTAGGAAAGTGCATGTAATAGGGGCTTTTTATCTAGAAAGCATATAATAAAACTAACCATTTTACTACCTAGATGGTTTTGTACATTTCCTTCTAACGTTAAGCTCAGAATTTGAAGTTTGAAGCCAATCCTTAGTTTCATGTTAAATTTTGGGAACTTTTTATTGAATGATTAATATGCACACCCAAATTAATCATTTTTTGCTTGGGATAATCATTCAAATTCATGCCCTTGGCTGCAAATGGCCCCAGACAGATCTCTTGTTCTGGGGTCAAATTGAAGCCAAAGTATTACCTCAACACAGAGCACATTTGAGGTGCTTTCAGATGTGTGCTGTTCACATGCTTTCATGGGAGAGGTACTGTGCTAGAGGCCTGTCTGCCGTGTTTCCGCAGGCTCTTTGGGGGCTTGGTGCTGGACATCAAGCGGAAGGCCCCCTGGTACTGGAGCGACTACCGGGATGCACTTAGCTTACAGTGTTTGGCCTCCTTTCTGTTCCTGTACTGTGCCTGCATGTCACCTGTCATCACCTTTGGGGGATTGCTCGGAGAAGCCACCGAGGGGCGCATAGTAAGAAATTTTAACCACTTCTAATGGTCCAAAATGAGAGTAAAAATATGATGGTGGCAGCCAAATCCAGTGGGGGGAAATTCCTTGGGTGAGGACTAAGGAGGTTGGATTCTTTCTACTGAATTACTGTGGTCTTCTGACTTCAGAACAGCCAGCAACACAGTTCTCCCTTTAGAATAGATCCTCTTCTGCTTGACTACCAATTTCTGTAGTTGATTGCCCAGTTGCATTGCCTGTTGCTCCAAGGATGAAAAATGGTATATCAATGTCATTTGAAAATAAGATTTCAGATGTCTCTGTATGACAGCTCGTAGTGTGAATGTGCTTTCTGTGTATATTTACAAATATGGAATTGAGTCATGCAGAACGGGACTTAGTTAAGGAATCATATGTGGATGGATTTGGGCACCTGAATTATCAAAGCAGTATCCATTCACAAGAGTATTAGACTGTGTACACACCACTCTTGCTAAGATAAAATACAAACAAATGACTTGTCGGGCACACAGGAGAGCTGAGTTGGGAATGTATATAAGCTTGCGTCACTCACTGCAGATGAGCTGTGGACTCAGTGATTATTTTTTTCCCCTCTCAGAGTGCAATTGAATCCTTGTTTGGAGCCTCCATGACGGGGATTGCCTACTCCTTGTTTGCTGGACAGGCTCTCACCATCCTGGGAAGTACTGGGCCAGTGCTTGTGTTTGAAAAGATTTTGTTCAAATTCTGCAAGTAAGACATTTGGCTTTCTGAAAACTCTTAACTGGATGTGTTATCATGCTGTTAGGGTTGACTGCCAGGGTCCTAGACGAGTGTATAAACAGGCCAATATCATCCTGGACTCAAAAAACCAGAAGGAAGAACATCGCTTGGTACGTCCTACTCCTGGGTAGGACCGCGTCTAAAGTAGCAGATCTCCTAGCCACAAAGAGCTTCATTACTGTCCCTCAGACACTACTGAAGTCTTGACTTTTTATCTTTATGAAAACTTTCCCTAATGACTCCAAACTCCTCCATTTCCATTTCAAGTCAGTTTTTAACTTGGCCTCATACTCCCCCTTCACATTCTGATTATTAGTGGTGGGAGTCAACAATGCCCTCATTTCCCTCCTTTTCCTATAAAATCTTTATTTCATTTTGTGTTAGAAGTAGGAGCGCGTGGAAGAAGGGCCACTCCTTGGTCCTAACTGTGAGAATAGAATCTTAATCACGTGGGGCAGTGATGGCAGAAGTGTGTGGGGGACAGCCCTCACCTTCTCCACTTCCTGTGTCCTTGCTGTGGCCAATACCACCAACAAAGCAAATCACAGCTGTCCCAGGACAGCATTTAGGAGTGAAGTGCAGTCAGAATTAGGGACAAACTGGGTTGCACTACTGGAATGGATAATATGAGATGAATTGACCATGTTTCTGACCCATCCGTCCGTGAGTTTTGATGTAGCCTGGTCTTGTTTCAGAGACTACGCTCTTTCGTACCTCTCCCTGCGAGCATGTATCGGACTGTGGACCGCCTTCCTGTGTATTGTCCTTGTGGCAACCGACGCCAGTTCCCTCGTTTGTTACATTACCCGCTTCACTGAAGAAGCATTTGCCTCCCTGATCTGCATTATTTTCATTTATGAAGCAATAGAAAAGCTAATTCACCTGGCGGAGACCTACCCCATCCACATGCACAGCCAGCTGGACCGCCTTAGCCTCTATTAGTAAGTATGCTTTCTGCTTATTTATTATTTTTTTTAATAAATGAAAGGGCCTGAATATAATGGCTGGTGGAGGGTGCCAGGCAGTGCCTGTAGCATCTGTTAAGGAAGGGTCTAGGTGCTCTGGGAAACAGCTCAGACGCAGTTGCGGAGACTTGAGGGGCTGCCAGAGGAGAACAATCAAAGTGATGATGGAGAGAATGGACTAAGAGCGAAACTCAGGGGGACTTGAGAAGTGCTTTCCAGAGCGTGTCTTTTGGGTCCAGGCATTGAGACAAAATTAGGCTGCAAATGTAGCAGGAAGAATTCAAGTTAGCTGTTGGGAAGAACTTTTTGCCAGGACTTGTGAGACCTTGGACCACATCAAGATTCTCTGTAAGTATGTATGGGCTACTCTTAGAAATCATTAGAGAGAGAATATTAAAAATTTCTTACAGACCCACAGTTCTCTTCCTCTGTATCTTAAAGATCTAGAAATCTACTTACTTACCTAGATTTCAACTCAAGAGATTGTATTTTCTTCATGTGTTCAGTATAGTTTGGACCAGATGGAAAAGAGACACAGTATTTGGCTGTGTTTTCAACACTCTAGGAGAGTCTGGTCCTCTAAACATTTCTTCTCTGAAATAGTGTTCTCTAAATTATGACTAAATAGTATTCTTCTCATCCTTTAGCTTCGTACATCAGGTTCCTTCCCTTCTGGCTGTACTGTTCTGATGTGGAAGATCTGGGTGTAAAGTGAACAATTTCAATCTGGAACTGTCTAAGCAGAGAAAGCACACTGCGTAGAGGTGCCTGCCAA